AAGAAAGTGATGTGAATGCTGTGGGTGAGGAAGGACTTGGTGTAAGAGAACTGGGATTACAACAACTTAAGTTGAATGGAATGCAATGGGTTACAATTGAGTATATATAGAGAGACTGCTGAAGAGAATGAATGAGAAAGTGAGAAAGCTCAAGGTATCTGGTTATAGGGCAGGAAGAAGGGTGGCCATAGGATACCTGTAAGAAAAGGTAATAATGCATAACCCTGCAGTCAATAACAGAGGAGTTCATAAGTAGCAGAACTGTTTGAAGAATTAGGGTCTGGATAGTAGCCCTTGCCCAAAAGTATGCAATTGCAGTTTTATGGTGGAAAAAATAGAACAAGATACAGAAGAGAGTCAGGCTGTTTCCTACAGGAATAAGAAACATTGAGACATCCCCTGTCTCCCACCTCCCTACTCCCCATGGAGGAAACTGAACTCACACTCAAACTGCATTTCACGGGAGTATCTATGCATTCCCTCGAGGAACCGAACTAGGCGTATATGGAGTAACATTTCCAGTTGTTTCCACTCCTCATTGCTGAAGTTTCCCCTGGACCAGGGCCACAGGAAAATGATGGTGCTGGAATTTCTGTCCAAGGTGTGGGTCTGCAAATCACCCAGATAACCTGAGACCAGATCTCGTTTCCAGGAATGGTTGTAAAAGGATGCGATCTGGATGACATGGAAGGAGACAGGCTCCTTGAGCCCTGCGGCAAAAGAACGAAGAGAATGGGGAGAAGAAATTGAGAAAGAGAATGGAGAGAGACCAGAGTGGGGGAACTCAGAATCTGGAGAAAAGGGGATCCATCATGGTCTTAGCAGATGTTTGCTTGCCACAGAGCCCCATGACTTATCAACCACCCTCATCAGAGCTCGGGGACTTGGAGTCATGGACAGTCAGAATGGAACCAGCCTGGCACTCTCACTATCCAAGTATATGCTAGGGAAAGCACACACACATATACACACACACATACACACATGTGCACACACACACACACACAGACCTTCATCCACCCAACTGGGCAGTTGTCAGAGTTCTTACCGTCTGCATTGCCACCACCTGGGAGAACAGCCAGCAATGGAAGTAGCAAAAACAGCATGTCATTTGCAGATGTTATTTCCTTCTCTCAGAAAAAATGGTCTTTGATTTCTGTTCCAAACAAACCTACCCCCACGATATCTCTATTCTGACTTCTTTCTGCAACCAACAGACAAACCTCCCCTGACTGCAACAAAGAAAATTCACTCAAAAAACCCTGAGA